CAGGCCACTCCCATGTGCAGGCCACTCCCAGCAAAACACCTCCTGGTTTCCTGAATGGCTCGAATGAAAGTTGGTGGTTTTCTCTGAACACCTCCAATCATAAGACACTTGGTTGAATGGGGTTTTGAACAGGCATACAAAGTGCTTTTGGTGTCAGTTAATAGCAGAGAGCAGGCAAACGGCCAGCACATCCCAATTCCAACCGGCCTAATGGAGCCATCTTTGCTTCTCTGGTGAGTAAGCAAACCACAGCAATGTGAACTCAATCTCTCCAGACTTGTTCAGAGTTTCACAGCATTTGGTAACTACTAGGGATGTGCCTTGCTAGGAGCAGAAATGGGGCAACCCAGCCGTGTGGGACCACGTACTAGGACCTGTGCATGTGCACCCACGCATGCATGGCTCTGCTGTGCCGGGCAGGGAGTGAAGGTGCACCAGGGATTTTCGTGGAGGCTACTCCTGCTGCCGAGGTCCAGCAGAGTGGACACCCCGGGCAGCCCTGCCAGGTGGGTTTGCTTCCCTTTCTCAAAGCAAGACTTTTCATTTAGGAAACAGGCAATAGAATGGGGACCACATCAATAGAGTGGGGACTATTCTTCTGCTTCTTACACGCCCAGCACCACCCTCCTCTTTTCAGTTCCCCACCCCCATCTGACTCCCAGACAGCCCCTCCTGCCCTTCCTCTGCGGACAGAAGTCATGAAGTTCGCAGCAAGGGGGCAGGCTCAAGTGAAAAGCTGCCCGCCTCTCCTGGGGGCCTGAAGTCCCATGGGTCCCAAGCAAGGATATCCTGTTGCTTGATGGTCATTTGGGTTTTCAAACCGGGTTCTGTCAACATGCTCAGGGAGGTGGGGGCCTGGGTCCCTCCCTGCCGCAACCACAGCAAGTCTGCTTTGATCTGTCTTGTGAGTACATCCATGCAATACTTCTCTTCAAACAAGGCCCTCACTGCTAAAAAGAGGAGTGCAAGCGTGTTCCACCTGCCCCATCTCACAGACGAGGAGACAGGTCCAGGGCGGTGAAGAGGCCCCGCTTGAGCCGAGCCCGTGGCGCACTCGGGAGAGTGCGGCGCTGGGAGCGCAGCGACGCTCCCGCCACGAGTTCGGATCCTATATAGGGATGGCCAGTGCACTCACTGGCTGAGCGCGGTGCAGGCGACACCAAGCCAAGGGTTGCAATCCCCTTACTGGTCATGAAAAAGACCAAAAAAAAAAAAAAAA